TTGGAGCAGTTGTTCTCATCCAATGAAAGTGCCACCCATAGCTAAAATATTTTCATTGGATGAGTTAGAAAAGGCAACGGACAATTTCGACCCCATGTGCATTCTAGGCCATGGAGGGGATGGAACCGTTTACAGGGGGATCTTATCAGATCAACGTGTGGTGGCCATAAAGATGTCCAAAATGGTAGATCAAAGAGAGATTGATCAATCGTCAATGAGCTTGCAACCTTGTCACAAATCAATCATCGAAATGTAGTAAAACTTTTTGGATGTTGCCTTGAGTCGGAGGTGCCTTTGCTCGTGTATGAGTTCATCCGGTCACCAGGTGAGTGCTAGATGCTTGTTAACACGGGATGATCGTATCACTGTATCAGAATTGGTAGTGAGGCTGCAAGTGCGTTTGCGTACCTCCATTCTGCTGCGTCCATACCAATCTTTCACAGAGATGTGAAATCTGTCAATGTACTCTTTTTTTTTTTAGCATCAGTACAGACACAAACGCTCGTATACACGCGCATACACTCACCCCTATGAACGTACACACGCACACCCTACCCCTATGAGCACCTCTGAGAGATTGAGCCGGCATATCATCTTGAGATTTACGAAGTCACCGTAGGCGCCTCGTCGTCGACAGGAACGTCTCCTCCCACTGAAAGCGCATCGCCGGAAATCCTGAAATAAATCCAGGAATAATGCGAGTACCAGGATTTAAACCCTGGTGGGTTGGGGATACCACTGTCCACCTAACCAACTCAACCACAGGTTGATTCGCTGCCAATGTACTCTTGACTGATAGCTTCACTGCAAAGGTTGCAGACTTTGGTGCTTCGAGATCCATTTCCATGGATGAAAATCGCGTGGTCACTACAGTGCATCGTACATTTGGATACTTGGATCCTGAGTATTACCGTACAGGCCAGCTGACTGAGAAGAGCGATATTTACAGTTTCGGTGTGATGATCGTCGAGCTCCTGACAAGACAGAAGCAAATCTTCCTTGATTACTGTGGTGAAAAGCAAAGCCTGTGCCACTACTTCATTCAAAGTCTACAAGATAACATTACGATGGAGATCATTGACACTCAGTGTGTTCTCTGTTTCGCCCATATTATACTGATGACTGGCAGATGAACTTTAGGAACAAGAAATTCTGTATGAGACTACTACTACAACAACAACAACAAAGCCTTTAGTCCCAAACAAGTTGGGGTAAGCTAGAGGTCAAACCCATAAAATCTCGCAACCAACTCAAATTCTGTATGAGACTAACTTATAAATATCTTCATAGCATCTTAGCAAGGGCGTCGTATCACGTGAATCCAACCATCTTCGTGAATCCGTGCATCCCCTCATCGTCAATCGTTTGATCTAGATCATGTGCCTGCTGTTTGTTTGCCCGCTTTTTGCACAAACACGCCCGCCTCCAGCCTTGTTTGCCCTGTAAATTTTGCAAAGAAAACCCCAGCGAGAGCAGCTCTCCTAGTTCACCACTCCCCAATCGTTTTCCAATCTCAGAGCATGCCCTATCCCAATGACGACCACGGCGGCATGCATCTGCCTGATCAATCACGGCCACGGGTAATCGCCACGACGACCACAAAGGAATCCATCTCCCAACTCCAGATCCGCATGGTGGACAAGTCCTCCTTGCTGGATACAGTGCAACCAACTACCATGGCGGGTTCTACTGCCAGGGACAATGAGAAGAAAGAGTCATATGTTTGGTTGTTTGAGACCTTCCTAGGAGCAATGGGGGGTGTAGCGCCGAGACTCATCATAACTGATGAAGCTACTAGCATCAAGAATGGAATTGATAAAGTTTTTCCAACCTCAGTACACAGGTTGTGCATGTGGCATATAATGGAAAGACTTCCAGAGAAGATTGCACCTGTGATTAGAGAAGAACCTGAATTTTGGAAGAGGATGAACGCATGTGTATGGGGTTCAGAAACTGTGACCGAATTTGAGTTAGAGTGGAATTCCATAATTTCAGACTTTGGGTTGGAGGATAATGAGTGGTTGACTAAAAGGTTTAGCCTTAGATAGTCATTGATACCAGTCTATTTCATGCACATATCACTGGCAGGCATTCTGCGAACAACTTCAAGGTCTGAAAGCGCAAATTCTTTTTTTAACCGATTCATTCATCGCAGGCTCACTTTTGTTGAGTTCTGGCTTAGATTCGAGACGGCTTTAGAATGTCAACGTCAAGAGGAGTTGATTGCAGACAATTCAAGCATCCATAGGACCCCCCAATTAGTCACACCGTGGGCAATGGAGAGACAAGGTAGTGAAGTATTCACATATGAGGTGTTTGTGAAATTTCAGGAACAAGTTATTGCTGCAAGAGACCACTGTTGTGTTCAAGGAATTGCACAAGATGAGGGAATTAAAATAGTGACCTTCAAAACGGGTGCTAGTAGGGTAAGGGAGGTCCGATGTGACACGAAAACCATGATAGCTAACTGTTCGTGCAAGTTATTTGAGTCACATGGAATCCCATGCCGCCATATTATCCAAGTGATGCGAACTGAAAATCAACAGGAGCTCCCAACCTTCTATATTATGGAAAGATGGCAGAAACGGTGTAAAAGGTATGAAAGTTATAATAATTATTACTCTTATTTTTTCGAAATCACATGGTCACATCATTTTTTTTGTAGTGAGAGTGTTTACGATGAACAAGGGAACCTTCTAGAAGAAATGCCCGCCGACTCCTTGGATGCAGCTGCGAGGAAGAAGATTTCAACAGTGCGAAACAAGTTGGAAGATCTAATTCAAAGAGCCAAGCAATCAGATGAAGGCATGGACTTTTTGGTAGCAAGTGTTCTGAGCATTGAGGAGCCTCTGAACCAAATGGTTCCTAATGCAGTCAAGCACACTAGGCAAGAGGAATACGAGGCGTTTATTGGTTGCAACATTCCTACTCAAGTTGACATACACCCGCCAAATGATGCTCATTTGGTAGGGAGATGTAAAAGAATAAAAAGAGGAAAGGAAATGAATGGGGAAAAACAAAAGGAGAAGAACAAAGAAGCCAAGGCCAAGGTTGCACGCTTGTGCAAGACATGCAACCAAATAGGTTTTCATGACAGTCGCAATTGTCCAACCAAAAAAGGTCAAGGAAAAGAAGCCATGAATGTGCAACCCATTCTTCCAAATGGTGCAGCATCATAGCTAAAAGTCTTTGAGGAAGGAGATGAATTTTGAATCCCATTTATTCGGTTTATTGATATTTGAATTTATGTAATGGATGTCAACTTGTGCTCTGTCCAAATATTTAAGTTATTTATATCGCACTTGATTCTGAACTCTATTCATCAATTGTTGTCACAGAAAAGTACATGTGCTGAATATACTTGAGAATGCTTGGTGCCGCTGCTTCATAAATGTTCTGTAGTTTCCCCTGTTTATTAAGCAAGAACTGAACAATAGGTTAAATTGTGAAACTATTCTTGCGGTTATTGACCATTCTCATCGACTCAGAAGACGACCAGTGGGTTTGCGAATGCTGAACTGAATTTCCTTTCTCCCTCTACACTGCTGAAGTACCGGCCATACTGTTTTTCGGTACCAAATGATACTTGTAAACATGTACGCATTAACTGACAGTACGAATCATGTAGGAACAGCTCAGCTTACAAATGACAGTACCAAATGAGACTGTTTTTCAAAATGAATCGTGTAGGAACAACTCAGATTAGAGACTGACAATACGCGTCAACAATAGCATTCACGAAAAGGAAGTGAAACAGCCATTTCTTTTTTTAAAAATCAGTCAGCAACAACTTGGCATCCTCTTGTTTCCTGAATTTTACATCCACCTCTTTCTGAATTTTGTAGCTCGATTAGCACACCCAAACAATATCTATAATCCTATTGAAATCACCAACAGCAAGTTATCTAATATAGTAAGAACTAGCTACATGGTCGCAGCAGTCATCTGGTTGTGCTGGTCTTGGGTTGTGGTCCAAGGAACTCTAGGCCGGCTTTGCCTGAAGAACTTGGCGAACAGTTCGGCAGCACAGCAGCCGGACAAAAAGAACGATTGGGGGTGGTGAACTGGGAGAGCTGCCCTCGCTGGGGGTTTTCTTGCAAAATTTACAGGGCAGACATGGCTAGAGGCGGGCGTGTTTGTGCAAAAAGCGGGCAAACAAACATCAGGCACAAGACCTAGATCAAACGATTGACGATGAGGGGATGCACAGATTCACGTGATACGACGCCCTTAGCAAGCTACCCTCTTCTTGCGACCGTGCGAGCAATTGGAAGCATCTTCTTCTCAATATTTGTGGTGATAACCCCCACTAGGCTTTCAGGTTAGAGCCAACACTTCTTGGTACATAGATAAAACTGCGGCCCTACTAATTCTGTCTCACACTAAATGATGTGTAAAATGGATAATTTCTGAAATTCACCATCTTTCGAATGACTAGCAAGTGGCAAGTGTAGCCACAGTTGTTTCATAATGTTGTCTTAGGTATTTGGGCATCTTTTCTGAAAGATAAAACAACCAGATGGGCACTTGGATAGTGTAGTTTTCATCTTCAGCTGGGCATGATTTATTTACAGCAACCAATGATCAACATATACTACATATTCACCGATACTGCTACTGCTACACATTACACCACTTATGCATTTGATGTACACCTTTTGCATCTTGTGTCGCCTTTGCCCAGCATCAAAATCAACAGAAACGGCCAAGACAGTAGCAGGAAACAATATCCAAATATTCTTAATCTTCTTGGTCTCGCGAAACTTCAGAATGCTAGCCATTCAATCTCAAGTCTCAAGCCTCGCAGCCGCAGTCTTCTTCTGTCAATTAGTTGTCCATTCACTATTTTTCTTGCCACGGAGCCAACTGTAGCAACAGAAAACCAAATAACATAACACAAGCCTCGACAATGCCATACCATTATTTCATTGATGATGAATCCAGCTCCAAATAATATGTGCGGTCTCCTGAGCGCTGACCACAGTGGTGCCTTTGATAAGTCATCGCCCTGAGTTGCTATTGCCTTCAGATGCTAAGCTGTCTAGCAAGTCACTTCCTTTGTAGTTTGTGCCACCAAGCCCAGGATTGGATGAGTAGCGGCTGTCTGCAACAGACAAGGATGCTGATGCTGTCTTGTTACGCCCAGCATCCCAGACAACAAAATCTGTATTTTCAAGGAGGCCTTCAGAGGCAATCCTTGCATCCTGGAATGGTGCATTACATTTTTGCTTTGAAAACTTAATGCAAGCCTCCTTTGCTGATTCAAGACAAGAAGCCATTTCTCGTTCTTCGCATTCTTCTCTTTCTTGATAGTTGGTTGTTGCACCTCCAAACAAACCTTTCCACCAGGGGGGCTTGCATTTTCGTGTTGCAGCGATTGAACAGCCGGAGCGTGCACCAGCCTGCAAAATGATGAACCAATCCGCTGTTCATTCCATTTGCAGGAAAAGATCCATTGTTCACAGTTAGGGGGATTAAGTACATCATGCAATTAGGAATGATGAAGCAAGCCAAATGGGCTGGCTGAGACCACTGGAGATCTTTAGGAAGCAAAGCTTCTACTTGTATACAAAACACACAGCATACTACTAACCAGCATACACGGTAGATTTGCTCCAGCTAAATCCAATTTACTCTTGTCATGTCAGGAATGAATTCTGACAGTAAGAACTCTAAGGCGCACTTCAAATGCTTAATCACACAATACACCATATAACTATACACCCACATGCAATTTAATCTTGGCATCCACTCCATCCGTTTCTAAATTTAAGTCTTTTTAGAGATTTCACTCAATTTGCTCCGTATGTAGCCTGCATTGGAATCTCTAAAAAGACTTTTATTTAGGAACAGAGGGAGTATAATAGATCCAGACTTGCAAGATCCTAATCTGATTACTAGCACTTTCTCCACAAAACAAAACGACGACACAAAAGACTAATGATGCAAAAGGTGCACTTCCACTTCATTTGCCCATTCAACTGTAGAAGTGGTTTTTGTCTCTTCATTGTGTGCAGCTGATAAATTTACCGACTAGCAGTACTAGAGCAAGTCAGCTCGGCCAGCTGCAGAAGTAAACATTCCTCGTCTTCCCAGACACGGAAGAACAAAAAAAAAAAAAACTGGTCAACAGGGTCGTCTATAGACATCTCAGTCGGCCGAGAAATCGACCGAGACCCAGGAACATCTCGGTCAACTGGGAATTAGCATAGCAGCAACACCGCAGAAGTAAAATACGCACGCGGAATATATGCCATGTCATGAAAACCCCGAATAGTAAGTGATCTTGGGTACTAGTCAGGGGCTTGTCTGCACTGTTTGGTGTACGCAGCTGCTAAACTTGCTGCCTGGCATTGACTAGCGCAAGGCAGCTCGGCCAGCTGCAAGAACAAAAAGAGGGCAAATGCTTCCGGTGCTAGGAACTGCGCTGCCATCTGCAATCAGCGTCTACCCAACAGATCTAAACAACCGTCGTCGAGTAAGCCTACACAATCGGCGTCTCCTAGATAGGTATGTGACAGCGCGCTTTGCCTCCGATGATCCAGGCATGCGAGACAGACACAGATTGCCAGTTGGGCAGGGGCTTACCTCGCACTGGGAGAAGAGGCTGGCCTCGGCGGCCTCCCAGGCGGCGCGCCAGCTCGCGGCGTCGCGGAAGGCGAGGACGGGGGGCTCGGTGGAGGCGGAGGAGGAAGAGGAAGGGACCGGCGCGCGAAGCAGAGGGAGGGGCGGGTCGAAGGGCACCACGGTGGCCGCCGGGGAGTAGTCCTCCGAAACCTCGCCGCCGCCGCCCGGCAGTGGAATGTCCATTGTTTGTGTTCCCTGGCGGCGGATTTGCGTGGCACACATCGTTTATTAGGGTTGAGTTCACGATTCTTTCCTTTGGGCTGGGCCGGGCATAAGGAATTCGAATCACGGCCCAAACAAACAGGCCTTATATGGCCCACACATACATGTCCATATATATAAAACATGTCCCCTCCGGAAGCGGAGCAATAGGATTCGCAACTCACGATGGAAACCACGACGCTGTAAGCCGGATCGATCGCCGTCGTCCGCCCAACCCCAATCATGGCTCCTCTCCCTGAGTCCTTTAGCTGCAACAATAACCGCTGCTTCCCTGCAAGATCGCGTTGCTGCTTCCACCTCCGCCGCGTCGACAATGGCCGAGGCGGAGACGCCAGGAATCGCTGGGTGCTTGGACCGGTGGACGAAAGAGGGGGCCGACGAGGCCGTGGCGGCGGTCATGGCGCTCCTCGACGCCGTCCGGTCCAGCAAGGCCGAGACCATCGCCGGGCTCCAAGCCGATGTCAAGGCGGCCGCGGAGGAACTCAAGGTCAGCTCCTGAGCTCTTGATCTCTACGTTCTGATCGAGTTTCTAGTCAATTTTTGCACACGCCAACCGTATGTAGACGAGTTTTATGCCTGATCGACGACACGCTGATGGATGAAAACTTGCAGCGCCTGGATAGCGAGCCGTACGGCGCGCTCTCGGCGGCCTGCGACATGTTCGTCCGGTACGTGCGTCGTGGCGGCGTCGCCGATGATCAGCCCGCACAGTTCCCCGCCCTCAAACGCCGTTTGGTCGGCCGCGCCACCAGATTCGGGGACATCTGCCGAGGCGCGCGCGGGGCCATCGCGACGCTCTGCCAGGACTTCTTGCTGGACGGCTGCACCGTGCTGGTGCACGGCCACTCGCCGCCCGTGCTCGACGCTCTCCGGCTGGCCGCCACCCGCGGCAAGCGCCTCCTAGTCCTATGCACCGGTACGCTACGCACGCATCATTAACTCGCGGAATAACCAAGACTTCGTAACATTGCCAATAATGTTTGGAGCCTAATTTGTTTTCGTCTTGCATGCAGAGGGTAGGCCGGACGGCGCGGGGCTGAGGCTGGCCGGGGAACTCGCGGCGGCCGGGGTGCCGGCGAGGGTCCTGCTCGACTCGGCGGTGGCCTACTCGATGGGCCAGGTCGACGTGGTGCTGGTAGGCGCCGACTTGGTCGCCGAGACGGGCGGCGTGGTCGGCGGCGTTGGCACGTACCAGGTCGCCCTGGTGGCTCGCGCCATGGGCAAGCCTGTCTATGTGGCAGCAGAGAGCTACAAGTTCGCGAGGCTGTATCCGCTGGGACAGAAAGACATCGAGCAGGGCGGTGGCCGAGACGTGGACTTCGGCGACGTGCCTGTGCCGGCCGGCGTGGACGTCGAGGCGCCGGCCAGGGACTACACCCAGTCGAAGTACCTGGAGCTTCTGATCACAGACCTCGGCGTGCTACAGCCGGCCGCCGTCAGCGATGTGCTCCTCCACCTCTCCATGTGATTGCAATTGAACGCCATTTTTGGTTTATACGAGGTAGAAAAGGCTCGTGCACCACAACGGAAGAAACAAATATACTGATTAGGACATATTTGGCAGATATTTGTCTTTTAATCTTTTTGATTTGATTCACGATTTTTCATCCAGTTTTTCCTAAACCCCTTCTTTTCACGCCTTGTCAATATCCAACCTATCTATCGCTCTACCGATCAAATCTGATTTGGTTGGGTGAAAGCAAAGATAGGTTAGAGCATCTCCACCCGCGTCCCCAACAGGTCTCCCAAGGCCGTTTTTTAGCGCCGGTGTCGAAAAATCGGCCGAGTCGCGCCCCCACGAGCCTGTTTTTTGTCGGATTGGGCCGAAATTGATGCCGGCGCACCCAACCCAAACCCGGCGCGGCGCCTGAGGGCGCCGGCGCGAACGTTTTGGCGCGAAAGAATGGCGGGACCGGCGCGTCAACGAGACGAAGGCTGGTCGTCCTCATCGTCTCGGTTTTCCCGCGGGGAATCAATGCCAAGGCTGCTGCCGGTCAGCCTGCCATTGATTCATGGGTGGCGAAGTGCGGCGATGCCGCCCCGCCTTCTGCCACGCGTTCGCACGCGGCCGCCCCCGAGCCGCTATAAAAGGCGAACTTGGTCACGCCGGTGAAGCACCCATCTCCCCCTCCTCACCGCCGCACTTCCTCCCCCCCCCCTCTC